GGGCGCAAAGACTATGTTTCAACTGCAGACAATGTTTCTCCACGGTATTTGCAGCCTTAACACATGTGGATTGCTTACCGGCTCTGGGCTAGTTGGTCGAGTATCAATGACAGCCGAACTGTGACTCGAAAGGTGGGATCCGGGGGATGTTGCGCTACTTGGTGAAGCGTCTCTCGAAGCCTGAGTTGCTGCTAGTGTTGGAACACGTGAGGAAATAGCGGTGTCGGTCGGAAGATGACTGGTTGTAGATGTTCGAGTAATTAGTGACGTAGGAATGCGAGTGGAATGATGGCTTTTTGCTGATGTTGTGCGGCTTGTTGAAGTGTGACTGTCAGTCGAAGGGTCATTTTCTGCATCTGAGGTAACCTCGCTCTGAGTCGAAGAGTGATTTGATGCAGGGGTTGGAGGACTTGGTGAACTGTCCCTCTCAGTCGAAAGGTCACTCACGGAAAGTGTTCCAGTACTTGGTGAACTATGTTGGCGAGTGGATCGATCACTTTTGTCTAGTGTTGGGGCACTTGGTGGACTATTGGTGTCAGTCGAGTGGTGATTCGCGGAAGATGTTGCAATACCTGGTGAACGGTCGCTGTCGCTTGAAGCGTTACTTGCACCTGATGTTGCAGCATCTGCGGAAGTGTGAGTCGAACGGTAAGTGGCTTGTAATGTTGCGCTACTGCCTGAAGTTGGAGTGTCAGTCGAAACTTCATTTATTGCCAGTGTTAGTGCACTTGATGAAACGTGACTGTCGCTCGAAGAATGACTACTTGCAGGGGTTGAACCTCTTCGTGAAGTGTGAGCGTCAGTCGAAGCGTGACTTGCTCCGGATGTTGCATGACTTGGTGAACTGTCGCTCACAGTCCACGGGTAACTTTCGGTAGCTGTTGCATTACTTGGTGAAGTACGAGGGCGAGTGGGATGATGACTCTTTCCTGACGTTGCGGCGCTTGGTGAAGTGTGGATCGAACTGTGGGTTGCTTCTGATAGTGCTGTACTGCCTGAAATCGGAGTGTCAGTCGAAACTTCATTTATTGCGAGTGTTGGTGTACTTGATGAAGTGTGACTGTCGCTTGAAGGATGACTACTTGCAGGGGTTACACCACTTGGTGAAGTGTGAGTGTCAGTCGAAGCGTTATTTGTTTCTGGTGTTCCTGCGCTTGGTACCTGCAACAACGGAAGTTTGTCTGTAGAGGCGCAAACTGAAAAGATACCAGTAGTCTTTGAGTGAAAGCAGAAAAAATGATTGAGTGTCGAAGTTGAGTGTGCTCTGTAGAAACAAAAGGTTTGTGTACAATACCTAAATTGGTATAGGGAAATGCTACTATTTCTAAACCCTTTTAGGTTTCCTAGAAGAAAAGGTACGGTGGTAAAGGTACGAAATGGTTTTAAGTGCATTGAAACGATTGATAAGTGGATTTGGTTATTTCATTATGGTTTTTCCTCTTGACTTAAACAGTTTCATACCGAACTTTTCTGCTAGAAAACGTGCTATGCAGGGTTTAGAAATGGTTGGACGTCTCGATAGCCTTTTAGGTTCCGTACTGAAACGTTTTTTTACAGAGTGGTCTCTGCTTTGTTGTGCGAGGTTTATTGAAGAGAAATTATTACGTAGATCCGGTTGAGTGTAACATAACGCCATGAAGTAACCTGCAGAGCGACACAATATTTACGATAGTTATTTGACGTTAGCTTAGTGGAAACTACAACGTAAGCATGCTATACACAGCAGCAGAAATTAGTTTTCTATATACAGCACGATAGTTCTAGTTCTACAAGTTTTTGAAAACTGCTTTCGTAGATCCATTATCATTCATGTGTTCTAAAGAAAAGACCACTGAGGAGCATTCCGGTCTTCTTTTGTATAACCGTGGTTAAGAAAAACAGTCAATCTGCTGGTATGACGATTCCAATGGAATTGCTAGTTCTAAATATGCGAAGTATAACAGGAAAACCTACCAAAAATTCCAATCCTTTAGTAACTAAATTTGATCTACTTCAGGCAATATGTGAGCAGCCAGATCCTTCTGTTTTGGCGATCACGAGACATGGTTAGACTCGACTATCATAGATAAAAATATTAGCATAAGTGGTTTATAAGTTGCATGGTTTAGATCGAAATCGCGAAGGAGGAGGATGTCTTTTATATCATAAAGATCATCTGATGGTAAAGAGAGTTTCATCTATCGAAAATCATGATTTTGGAATTATCTTTTTTGAAAGTATACTTCCTAAAATTGGACATATTCTTTTTGTAGTTAATTATCGATCTCCAAGTCTTTCAAACATTGAGACTGATGATTACATAGAATTTTTAAGTGACACTATCTGCGATGTGATTAGGAAAAATTTTTGAAACAAAATGACGCCAAAAAATTTCCATGGAAAAATAATATTAGTTTGAAAATCTTTCCTAACCTTTTGGAAGTACCCCTTGCCAAAAATAGAAAACCTTCTGGGTTACCGAGGGCGCTGGATACGAAAAGCACTTTTCAGCAACTCAAAACGAACTTTATTTTTGTTCCAGTAATATGGATACGTAAAATCTATAACGATAGTGCTACTGATTGGGGCTTCTTCCCTTGCGAATTAGTGAAGCCGCTGAACACAGTTACAATTATCTTTTATAATTCAACTTATGTGAATAAGAAAGTAGAAATCTTAGAAACTTGCATAATGAATACAGTCGAGTTATGTGTCCCTTGAAAAATAGTCAGAATATTCTCGTCTGACCAGCCGTAGTTCATTCAAAATTTACGACAAATGTTTCGTCAGAAAAAACATCTATATAGAAAACAAAAACAACCAAATTCTTCAGCTTCTTCTAAAGCTAAGTATTTGAAAGTGGCTATGGAATTCGAAAAGCTTGTGAAATTGAAAAAGAAAAATATTTAAACAAAATTCGTCAGACTAATGCATCAAAAACATTGTGGTGGAATTTAGTTAAAACATTATTTCTTCGATCGCGCTCTACTAAAATGTCCAAATTGAAAGATCATAATAATTACGAACGGTCAGACGACAAAATGAAAGTCCACATTTTAAATGAGCATTTTGCGAACATATGCACAATGTCTTTAGCTGATTATAACAAATTTATTCCACTTAACCAGCTTCCTCTGTCAACTCCTACTTTAGATCTTTCACAGTTAGTACGCTTAGGATCCTAGAAAGATTAGCTTATAATAGGCTTTATGCGCATGTTAAAAAACATCAGCTACTAACACCGTTACAATCAGGTTTCATTCAAGAGGATTCATTGACCAACCAGTTAGTTGATTAGTGCATGAAATATAAGAAAATTTAGACTCTAAGAAATTTACAGCGGCAGTTTTTCTTGATTTTGCAAAAGCTTTTGACAAAGTTGGCATGTTGGACTTTGGTCTCAGTTAAAACGAAAAGGCATTAGCCCTGCACTTTTAAAACGGTTTGTAAGCCACTTAACTGACAGAAAAAACTACTGTAAACGGCTAATCTTCTCAGCCATTCGTTGTAAACCGCGGAGTATCCCAAGGGTCAATTTTGGGCCCACTACTCTTTTTAATTTTATTGATGACATCTACAATGAAAATAAGTCGAAGATTCGGTTATTTGCAGACGATACATCTTTGTATCACAGCTCTGGTAATGTGTCCAAATACGAGAATATCTTAAATGTAGATTTAAAACATATTTTGGAATGGACTGAGTTTTGGCAACTGCCTCTGAACTTAAAAAAATGTTTGGCGATGTTTTTGGTAAAGTACCTGTCCGTCCTCAGCTACTTTTGAATAATAATATTATTCAGTATGTCGATCGTCATAAACATCTAGGCTTGCACATAACACCTATGCTTGATTGGTCTTTGTATGTACATGAGGTCAACTCTAAATGTAAATACACTTTATATCTGATGCGCTGTTTCAAACATCTATTAAGTACTACAACACTCGATCCGACACATAAGTCGTACATTTTACCAATGATAAGTTATGCTGATGCTGTCTATGCACGCTTCAAAGAAATTCAGACTGTAAATAATCATCCTTTTAGTGTGCCAGCTATTTGAAACCTATTACAAAACTGCAGTATGAAGTTGGACTCATAGTTAGTGGTACTATACGTCTCAGTTCGCGAGAAAATCTTTTTAACATCTTACAACGGCTTTCGACTGAACATCTATTTGCAATGTATAAAATTTTATTGCTATTCAAAATTCTCAGAGACTTAACATCAGTGCTTCTAGTAAATAGATTACCTACGCCAACCGCAACAACAACTATGACTTCGAGATCTTCTACAAATATTCGCCCACAAGTGTATCGTACTCATAAAGTTAGGTTTGATGCTCCATTTTTTCCATGGACAATTAGGCAGTGGAATGCACTACCTACTACCTTACTATAATTTTGGCTTTGAAAAAATTTCGTATAGCAATAACTGACCATTTCTTTCCTTTGTATAAGTGACCTCGGTTTAAATGTGCCGGAAGAAAATACGATATGATTTTTTTTCAGATGCGCGTCGATTTTTCTCGGTTAAATTATGATGTTTTTAAGAAAAACTTCGTGAGTAGTCCATTGTGTGAATATGGTGAAATGAGACAGTAAGGTATTTCTTTTTGGATTCTCAGAATTACCAGCAAAGCAGAACTATCTTCAAAAATGACTGGCTTGCTCTTACAAACGGCAGCTCTTATACTCTAGAACACATTCTTCGTCCATTCCGCAAAACTTAGTTCATATATTTGAATCTCTATTCGTACAAAATTGATTTTGTGTTTTTCGATAGTTTTAGTTTAGAGTACTATAATGGAATATTTTTCCGCTTGTATTCTTACAGAAAAGAGCTTATATTAACCCTTAATTCCTCTAAATGCAGGCGAAATTTGTAAACTTCATAATACTGAAATAAGCTAAACCGAAGGCGCACGGCCTTTTTACATCAAAACTCGCTCCTCCTCGTATGCTTACTTACGTTTTGTATCTGTTTGGTTTAATTACTTCTTTTTTGTTTGTCCTTTGTCTCTTAGTTAATGATGCAAAACATACAATGAGCTTGCCTCCTTCTTCTCACCTTTGTACTAACTTCTCTTTTATCTTTAACAAAGTTTATATAAACTATCCGCATTTAACGCTGCCTAACAGACAGAGAATCACCGTGTATCATCTTCAATTTGGAAAGGTTCCTCTTCTATTGACAGTGGACAGCTCAGCTCTCACACTGAAACATGATTTGAAATTAATACTAAAATTCTCACCAGCACCATTCGGAAATTCAACTCAAAAACATGCAGGTTTCACTTCAACTTTCAGCTATTTTCCAACATTCTTCTTCTATTAGGAATGAAGTAAAAGCTGAATCAAGTGTCGATGCTTTGTTTTGAAATAGAAAAGGTTGTTCGGCGCAATTGGTCATGACTTCAGTAGGACCATCTCTCAGTTCATTCGCACGACAGATCCTTACCGTTGGTTGTGTAATCGCTGAATCTGGATAACAAGCATGCATATTCAACTCGACACATCGAGGGCTTCCACCTGTTGTACTCAATATGTGTATCTCCATTCGTTTTACCAAATCAGTTGCCAATTGATCCACGCGCGGGTTTGTCATAACACCACTTGTTTTTGAATGTAGTACACCTCCATTTCCATCATATGTGGTCGCTTTAATTTGATTTACATTTGTTGTTGCGCATCCTACCATTACTGAGTGAATCAAACCGAGAGAGGCTAGCGATACTTCAAGAACATGTTGACCAACATCGATAAAATCTTTTGCATTCGTATTATTCGTATTCGTAACATAAACTGACGAAGACGAAACGGCAAAAAATATGCCGACATAGCCAAATAGTTGAATTTGCGGATCACATACCATGCCAGACGGAGCGGATATCTATAAAATATATTAAAAAGGAAATGAATCAACAATAAAGTGCCTTCAACTTCGCAAGAAAATATATTTTACATCATGTTCAACTAATGATGTTTAACGACAACCATTCAACCGCG